TGTTCTGGGTCCTTTTCTTTTGTTAAGAGCTGTTGAAAATCAATCTGCCATTGTTCTGTGTCCAGTCTGTGTCTTCATGTCTGCCCTGGTCCCACATCTCTGTGTTCCCACTGTTGCAGTGTCTGTGTCTGCTTCTGAGTCTGTGTCTAAAAGTTCAGTCGGTGTTCCCTGTTTTACTCTGAAGGTCTGTGTCTTATGTTAATGTGTTTTGCTTCCCTTGTCACGTTAGGCCTGATCTGTCCCAGCTGTGTTTCCCTGCTGCCCCCCATTCCCTGATTGCTCCTCTGTGTGTTTAAGCCCTGCGTTTTCCTTTGTCTGTGCTGTGGTCTCCATCTTACTATACTGTGTTCTGCTGGTTAGCCTGTTTTTCTTTTGTTAATATTTGAAGTTTAGTTAGTTTTCTGTTCTTTTGCTGTGTAGCATTAAAGCTGAGTTTTGAGTTCATATTTGTCTCTGTGAGTCTGCACATTGGGTCCTCTATTCCTGCCTGCACACAGCCTTCATTTGACATAAATCCCTTTTATATATGAAATATTTATGAATAGTAGTTTATTTAGGAATATTTATTTATAATTCTTTGTATTGTTCATTAATTTATTCATGAAAATAAAAAATTATTGTTTTGAATTAATGAATTTCTTATTGCATGCTTTATTGTACAATTAATTATTCAAACACAAAATGCGAGATTGTTTGTAATCTTTGCTAACCACAACATGACCTGATCACTGGATTGAAAGTTTTGTTTTTTGCTTTAGCATCATTATTCCTGCGATGTGTTGACACAACTAAGTGTTTGAAAATGCTCTTGTGTTTCAAGCAAGTTTTTGTTTTCAAGCTACTCTGTCTCTTCTTATGTGATGTCCTCCATTTATTTATAGTTCAGTTCAGTCATGACTGCAATTTGGCTCTCTTGTTAATCTTTAAAGTATGTTTAACCGCTGTTCACACGTGTGGTGTGGACGAGTATTTCTTTATCCTCCAACATGTTCTATTTAATATGCACTGCTATTGATTTATTTCTTATAGCAACATCCTTAAAAACACATTAGAGAAGAAAATATGATGATTGAAACAATGGTTATTTATTTTTTCTTTCCATTGTCTAAGCATCAACACTATAACAATTTTAAGACAAAACGAGTTTATAAAAATCAAACATCGCTTTAAGATTTACACCAAACTATAAAATATACTGTGCAGAAATTTTTTGTTATAATACTATTTTACATATTCACATACATACATATTTTGCACTCTATTTACATAAAAATAGTCCAGCTTGACATCTTTACATGAATTTGAAGACATTTCATCACTCTGAAATTTTTACATGTTTAACAAAACAAAAAAGCCAAACATGACAAAGCATCATAATAAGTGCCATTCACTGTGTGTCGGTAGTTTATATTTGGTGATTCTTGGCTGGTGTGTCAGAGCTTAGACGTCTATAAACCGCCCCTCCTTCACTGATGGAGCTCTGATCTTGTGTCGACACAGCGGGCAGGTGCCAAACTCTTGACAGACTCTGGAGTCACAGTGCTTACATAAACACCGGTGGCCACAAGGCAGTGTGATTCTGGCCTCCTTCACCATGCACACCACACAGACGTTATCTATAACCAGAAGAGAGAGAC